CCCCACATCGCTCCAACAGACGCCCTAGCTCGCGAAGAAACTTCAAACCCTCCGCCTCCACATCCATATCATCCTCCTTCTCACTCTCAAACCTCATCATGCTCCCCAAGACCCAATCTTTGACCGAACAAACTACTAAACAACTCATCTCTCTGCCGATCACCCCACTGACCACGGTCTTCCGGTGCCATAAAATTCTGAATCTTTTCTTGGACCGTGTAGCGTAATCTTCTTCCTTTGCTAGCCTTCGTATCGACGACTTTCTTCGTCTTGGCGTCGCGGGCTACTTGCCATGGTGCTTGTACGACGAACTCGGCAGTTCCGTTGGCGTTGAGGTCGGCGGAACGCTGCTCGAGAAGCTCTTTCAGCATGAGGCCGTAGAAGTCGGCGTCGTCATAAATGGCAGGGTCGGGTTGCGCGGCTTTTTTGGAGGACTGGAGGGGCGCGCAGGAGCGCGGTGTTTGCGTGCGGGTGATGAGGTGCGAGGAGGTGAGCTGAGAGTCGAGGACTTCGGTAAGTGTCTGTTGCGCTGAGGCATTGAGACGAGCTTTGTTGTTTGTGACAGTTGTTGCTTTCGTCTTGTTGGACCAGCGTTCCAATACAGCTTTACGGTGTGGTAGTGCAGTCTTCTCGGTTGCTTGGAGGCTAGACCAGATCTCAGACGAGGGCGTTGTGGAGTCGAAAAGTGTGCGCTTCCGCTTTTGGCCTGTTCGCGATTCCTCCAGAGATAGCCGGAGGTTGGTGAGGTTGTTCAGGAGTGTCAAAGCTGCTGCTTCTGCTGCCTCTACAGGCGCGTCTTGTACTGTTTCATCCTTGTGTTGCTCTGCGGCCATGGAGTTTGTGCTAATCAGAGCCTTTTGTAATCTTATGCGAGAGTTCAGTAAAGTGTCAAACGTCTTGCGCTGAGTCTTGACAGCTTCTCCCTTTGCAACGTCGGACTGTGCGCCGGCAGCAATTGTCGAGGTGAAAGTCTTGTTCGCAGCCATCAGGTCGCGCACAGTGGACGCGTTCGGCCTGGCTTCGTCGCCAGAATCTTCGTCATCTGAGCCTCCGAGTTGATCGCCATCTTCACCGTCGCTCGCGTCTTCGGCACCGCTTCCATCTGATTCGTCTTCGTCGTCGTCGCCCATTTCCTCATCAGAGTCTCCGCTGAAGCCTTCCTCGTCACTGTCGTCCTCGCCGTTAATTTCTTCCCCATTGATATCGCCACCTCCATCATCATCACTAGCCTCGCTATCCTCCTCGTCGAAGCCTCTGTCGAATGGATCGTCGCTGTCGCTGTCTTCAAGCGCTTTTCGGTCCACCTTGCGCCCAGCGTACTCGGGACCAAGCGCTACCTCAACCGGCTTTCTCAATTTGCTCTTTCCCACGGCTGTGTAGTGCTCCCGCCCTGCATCGTCTTCTTCGACTTCGGAGACATCGTCATCGGAGCGCTCATCTTCGCTGGAGCTTGGTGCAGGGTCAAGGAGTGACTCGGGGTCGAAATCTACTTCGTTATTAGGAAAGTGTTGTCGCGATCAATTATAGAGTGCGCACCTCTTATCTTGGACTTGGGCATGGCGAAATGCGTGCTATGTCGTGCTGATGCTTGCAGAGATGGCCGAAGAGAAAGTTCACCAGGAGTCCCACTAAAAAGTTCGAAATCGGCCTTTCATTTCGCCGATGCATGCACTTCCGCATCCAACTCCGCAACTCCCGTCTTCGCGACGAATACGGCTGTAGTTATGTTGAAGCCACGCTATTTCTCAACATTGCACTGTCTGCAGCATGAGAATCCTCTCGTATGTTGCGTGATGAGACATAAACCGTCCATTGACTGATGTCCTCCCAGGGACTTCCACGCTCCGGCGCACCTCCGCAAATGCCTCGAATGCAGCGAGGGTTACCGCAAAAGAGAAACATCAAAGATGTGAAGAAAGTGATTGCCGTCTCATCCGCAAAGGGTGGTGTCGGAAAGAGCACAGTTGCTGGTATGCCACGCAGAGACTAAACCATGGCCAGCTTCGGGACACTGAGCCCAATCGCAGTAAACCTCGCATTGAGCTTCGCACGGCGCGGTTACAGAGCCGGTATTCTTGACACTGATATCTTTGGTCCATCGATACCGACCTTGTTGAATTTATCCGGTGAACCTCGACTCTCAGCCAGTCAGTCCGTATCGCGATCCCTGGCCTTAACAATCCCTAATCTCGTCCATCAGACAACCAATTGTTACCACTCTCAAACTATGGTCTCAAATCCATGTCCATGGGTTATCTCATCCCAGAGTCTTCACCAGTAGCATGGCGTGGCCTGATGGTGATGAAAGCTCTGCAACAACTACTCCACGAAGTCGAATGGGGCGGCTTGGACGTCCTAGTTCTAGACATGCCACCAGGAACTGGTGATGTACAACTCACCATCACACAGCAACTGATACTCGATGGTGCCATCATTGTATCAACGCCCCAGGACCTATCACTCAAAGATGCTGTCAAAGGCGTTGAGCTGTTCCGGAAAGTCGACGTCAAATTGCTGGGTCTGGTATGCAACATGGCTGGGTTCAAATGCCCTGGTTGCAATCAAGTGCATGAAGTGTTCGGAAGCATGGACAAAATCAGGACCATGTGCGGCAAGTACGATCTGAGAATGCTAGGAGAGATACCACTGCATGGGAGCATAAGTGACAATGCAGACGGTGGGAAGCCGACTGTTGTGGCAGAGCCAGACAGTGATCGCGCTTTGACCTTTGCAAAGATCAGCCAAGAAGTTGGTGATCTGATTGGGCTGGTGAAGTAATTCCATGGTCACTAGATGCTTCTGAACGAGGCCCAAGAATGACAGTATAGAAATTAGCAATTCTGAGAGCTTAAGCGCTCCAGAAGGAAACAAGTAGAGTACGTCATGTAAGAAAAGAACACGGATTTGGGGAATCTAAAATAATAATAGATACTGAGGTATGAGAAGCTCACTCGGCAATGCAATGCAAAAGTTGCAGTTCTTCTGTGTAAACAGACTGGGTACGAAAGAAAGAAGTGAGACGCTTCAGGAAGGCGGGGAGATGACGCTAAACTACTTCCAACCTAACGCTATCTACTACAATGAGAGACCAACTCGCCGTATCTAAGTACGCGTCCAAAACATCCCGCTGCAGGAATTGATCATCAGTCGCTCTCAGTAAACACAAACTGCGCAAAAAAAGGAATATCATACATATAATGGTAACCACCTCATCACCCAAGCACGATACCCACCCCATCACCAGTCAACATGTCAAACCGCGGATCATCATCCACGGCGGCGCAGGTAACATAACACGCACATCCATCCCCCGAGACCAATACGATGAATACCGTGCGTCTCTTCTCAGCATCCTCTCCAAAGCAACCGCACAGCTCTCAGTTCCGGGAGCAACAGCACTAGACGTCGCCACATACGCCGTCACGCTCCTCGAAAACGACCCATTATACAACTCGGGAAAAGGAGCCGTCTTCACACGAGATGGAAAAAACGAACTCGAGTGCAGCATCATGGTGTCCAACGGTTACCGTAAACGCGGTATAGGCTGTATGCTCCTCTCGCACGTGAAGAACCCCATCAAGCTAGCGCGAGAGTTTCTAATCCGCGGCGAGAGCGCTGATGGCGGTGGTGCGGGAGATCACTGCCAGTATAGTGGCGAGTTTGCAGAAGAGATGGCGGAGAAATGGGGGTTGGAGATTGTGGAGCCAAGCTACTTTTTCACGCAAAAGAGGTGGGATGAGCATCAGCGCGGGCTAGTCGAAGAGAAGAAAAAGGAAGAAGCGGGAAAAGCTTCACACGAGACGAGCCAGTGGGAAAAAGATAACTTCATCCCACTTGGGACATGTGGTGCCGTCGTTGTGGATTCTTTCGGCACTGTATGCACGGCTACGTCTACGGGGGGTTTGACAAACAAAGTCCCCGGTCGCATTGGAGATACACCGACACTGGCCGCCGTTTTCCAGGCTGAGGAGTGGTATACCAAAGTTTCACAGCGGTCGTCACAGATGCTGTATCAACCATCTGCATCCATCGTTTCCTCTCCGCTAGATAAACTCTCAAGAGGTGATCTAAGAGGCGTAATTGGCGATTGTCTACTACTACCTACCTTACACGCCGCATCAACATCAACATCCACTCCACAAGCGGCAGCTACAAGCGACGAGAAGCCAATAACCGTCCGCCACGCCATGGCACTGTCCGGAACGGGTAATGGTGATACCTTCTTGCGGACAAGTGCAGCTCGCACTACTGCAGCCCGATCACGCTTCTCGGACTGCTCGCTATCTGAGGCTACAACTTGGATGGCTGGGCCAGATGGCGAGCTGCAAAAGTCGGCTGGAGAGCGGTGGGATAGGGTGCATGAGGGTGTGGGGGGGATTATTGGGATTGAGGTTGTGGGGACAGAGGTGCAGGTTGTACAGGATTATAATGGTGGGGGTATGTTTAGGGCTTGGATTGACGGGGATGGCGGGTATAGATGTTTGGTGTTTAGGGAGGATAGCTGGGAGAGTGGACCGGAGGGTTGGGGTGAGTGGTAAGATTATGGATGAGGATGTGCAGATACTTGATGTTGTTGGCTAGGTGGGATGCTGTACTACGGACGGCGGTTGGTGACACAACGGCATGGCGTATACATGGAGGGTTTCTGGTGTTGTGTAGGCTCTCTGTCTTTAGTAGATGAATGTCAAAGTAGCTTGTACTGTGAGAAAATATACTGTATATAACGCAGGGCTGTGTCTTTCTAAGACTGTGTGGCATGAACTACATGCTAATCATCAACACGCGTCAAGGGGGAGCAGCACGACCAATCGTAGCATATGCGCGTAATTGCATCGGAAGACTGCACGCCTTGACGCTGTCAAGGTGAGATAGTCATCTACAACAAGTTAGTCAGATTTGGGCGTGAAGGTCGGGCGTAGACGGATGGGCGGGGCGAGAAGGAACCACGCCTGCGAGAACGCGATGAAATGATGTGATGAGCGTCATGCACATGGCTAGAATGTGACAGACTACGACCGACTCAAGTTCCAGTAAAATAGCCTGGGAATCGTGGCGCGTGGGCTCGGCGCTTCGTGGGCGCGTCTTGGGAATCCATGTCCATGGGTACAGCCACCTTTGATGACATGATCCCCGCAGTCAGCAGTTCCGCAGCCTTAAGCAGCGCAAAGCGCCCTCTCTTTCCCCAACTCACATCCTACTATACCTTGGGACTTTTGTAATTCACATTCCTCAGTTCGCGTCAGTATGGGTTTCAGTCTCAATAACCCGCTGCCATCGTCCATGGCCAGTAAGTGTGCTCCATCATTGCCTGTTCTTATTGTTGCTTCTTGTTGTTCTTCGGAGGCCCGGCCGGTGACGTCGCTAACAGCTCCCGCCAGGCGAATGTCGCAAGACAGGAAAGATTCTTGCATCCTTTGTAGACCCGAAGCAGTCTTTTGGTCCTGATAAAATTATTCCTCCAAATATTCTTGCCAATGCAAAGGTACGACTTTTCCCCGCGCATCCGGTAATTGCCTACGCGAATGGGCAGGTTGATAGTAGGAGCCCAAGCCGAAATACTGACGCGCTTCCTTTCATAGGGCCTCGCAATTCTCACAGTCTTCAAGGCTGGCTTCCTCGGCACTGCGCGATTCGGATCGGGTGTTGTCGTTGCTCGTCTGGCGGACGGATCGTGGTCGGCACCCACGGCTATTGGAACCATCGGTGGCGGCTTTGGCGGACAAATTGGCTTCGAGCTCACGGACTTTGTTTTTATCCTGAATGATGCATCCGCCGTACGCACATTTGCACAGGCGGGCTCTTTGACACTGGGTGGTAATGTGTCAATCGCCGCCGGTCCCGTCGGTCGCAATGCCGAAGCAGCCGGCGCGGCGAGCTTGAAGAGTGTAGCTGGTATTTTCAGCTACAGCAAGACCAAGGGTCTGTTTGCTGGTGTCAGTTTGGAGGGCAGCGGTATCATCGAGCGAAGAGACGCCAACGAGAAGCTTTACGGCCGTCGATGGACCGCGCGCGAGATCCTCAGCGGTCAGGTTCCCCCGCCGCCGGCTGCTCAGCCCCTCCTACAGGTGCTCAACTCGAGAGTCTTCGCTGGTATTGGTGGCGCGGCAAACGTTACAAACGATGCCATGTACAATGACATTCCCGTCTACGACGACACACACGACAACGTAGTATGGCAAGGCCGCCGTGGCTCAGCCATGGGCGAGGGTGTACGGAGGGATCGCACCGGCTCTGTGGGACAGCAAAACGACTACGACTATAGAGACCGACCTGGCCATTCATCGGCGTGGACCGACGATGTCTACGACCGACAGCCATCGTCTGCACCAGGCGGCCTCAACCGCTCCTTCTCGACACGCGCGAACCCTAACGAGACGTTTGACCGCATCGATACACGGACCCGCTCCCAGACCTTTGGCGACGACTACTCATACAGCGATCGCAAACCCGGACGGCCAACAGCGCCCAAGCCCGTATTTGGACAGACAACTGGACAGAAGAAGGCATCACTACAGTCAGACCAGGCCATTGCCAAGTTCACATTCGATGCGGACCAGCCAGGTGATCTTGGCTTTAAGAAGGGCGAAATCATCACCATTCTGAAGAAGACCGACAACGAGACGGATTGGTGGACAGGCAGGATAGGCAACAGGGAAGGCATCTTCCCCAGGTACGTCTACTACATTTACGTCCAATGTGACTTCCGCTAACCATACCAGCAACTACGTTGAAACGGTGTAGAAACCGCCCGTCCCATACCACACGACACGGCACCCTGTAACGATATCCATTTTGCTCTAAAGTCATCAGCGTTTCCGGAAATATACCACAAGTTTCTCGACCAAAGTAGACTGAAGAATTGGTTGATGGTTGGAGTTCTCTCGAGCTACTCACTCTGAGAGGATTGCTAAACATCCCATATGCATTCAAGGGCGTCTTTGTACTGATGCAAATCTTGTACCTTTTTTTCTTGCTTACGTTTTCTCGTTTCTTTGGTTTCAACCTTTTAGATACCTAGGATGTGCGGGAGAATTGATGCTGTATTTTTGTGTGTTGGCTTATGAAAATGGTTTTATGAGGACATGTGTGAAGTTAAACGTCATCGTATCTCATTTGTTATCATGTTGGCGATCGGCAAATGTCATAGCTACCGATACCTCCGACTATCTCCGCCATGTCCAAAAGCAATGTCGCGTGCAGCCCTACCCCTCCTGTTCGCTTCGACATGTCATCAGTGGATCCGGTTTTCCTGAAATGCTCCGGCCGGACTCGAGCTATGCCCATCAGGAAGGTAGCCAACGACAAAGTGAAAGCTACCCCACTCAGCCGTTGGGGTAGCTCTAAAGCTATCAAACACCCCATTCCTGTCCACGTCATGTTGGAGACGCATCCGTCTTTACTATCTCTCAAGCCCCTCTTTTGGATGGCTCCTTGAGTTCCCCGCACCTATTTACTCAACACCATCTCTCCTAACACTATCGACGTTGGAAGACTGCAACATGGCAACACCATCATGGCAGGAGATTGCTACTCAGAAGCGCGAGGCTACTCTAGCTGCGATACCAGCGGAGTGGCGACTTGATAAGCTGCCGTCGATTGAAAAGCAAGTGGATGTGACAGAATATGTGAAGCAATACTTTGATAAGAAGGAACTGGACATCACCGAAAGCAGCGCAGACGTCATCGCAAAGAAAGTTGCAGAAGGGCAATGGTCAGCTGTTGAGGTAACGAAAGCATTCTGCCATAGAGCAGCGGTAGGACACCAACTGGTATGTATCCCCTGAGTACACTTGGTAGACTGACACTGATCAAAAAGCTACACTGCTTGCATGAAATTTTCTTCGATGCTGCCATCGAAGACGCCAAAGCCCTTGATGCTTACTACGCCCAACACAAGAAAACTATTGGACCTCTCCACGGAGTACCCGTTTCCCTCAAGGACCAATTCCACGTCAAGGGTGTTGAAACTTCCATGGGCTACGTCGGCTGGATCGGCACTTTTGAAGGCAAGAAAGGGACTGGGAAAGAGAAGGTTTTCGAAAGTGAGATGGTGAAGATGTTGCGAAATGCAGGCGCGGTGTTGTATTGCAAGACGAGCGTACCGCATACACTGATGAGTGGCGAGACAGTAAACAACATCATCGGATACACTTTAAACCCCAAGAACAGACATCTAACAGCAGGGGGAAGTTCAGGTGGCGAGGGTGCTCTGATCGGGATTAGAGGATGTAAGCGTTCCAAAACCTCACTCAGCTAATACTCGCCCCAACACCACCACCTCTTCAAGAAAAAAACTAACAAGTCCCAAGCACCCATAGGACTAGGCACCGACATCGGCGGCTCCATCCGCATCCCCGCCGCCTTCAACGGCCTCTACGGCCTCCGCCCCTCGACCGGGCGTCTCCCCTACGAAGGCATGGCAAACTCCATGGACGGCCAAAACACCATTCTCTCCGTCGTCGGGCCCCTCGCCACAAACGCAGCCTCCCTCCGTCTGATCACGCAAGCCATACTCGATCAAACCCCCTGGTACCACGACCCCTTCGTCCACGAAATCCCCTGGCGCCCCTCGCACGACGCAGAAATTAAAACCTTGAAACCCCTCTGCTTCGGTGTACTAAGAACAGACGGCGTCGTAAACCCCACTCCACCCGTCCGCCGCGCTATTGAGGAGGTTGTGGCGGCTGTTCGCGCCGCCGGCTACAAAGTCATCGACTGGACACCGCCATCCCACCGCACCCTAGTAGACACAGGCATGAACTCCTGGATCTACGACGGCGGCTCCGACGTCCGCTCCGCCTTTGCGCTTTCCGGCGAACCCATGTCGCCCCAAGTATCCTTCTACGCCTCCCTGACCAAGGAGTTCACCGCTAGCGAAATCGCAGCTAACAACGTCGCGCTGCGGCGTCTCAAGAAGGAATATATGGAGTACTGGAACAGCACGGTGCAGCAAACGGGGACGGGTAGGCCGGTAGATGCGGTTATTACACCGTTGGCGCCGTTCCCGGCTGCGAGAAGGGAGAGGTATAAGTATTATGGGTATTCTTCGTTTGTTAATGTGTTGGATTATACCAGTGTTATTGTGCCGGTAACGAGGGTTGATAAGGGTGTGGATAAGAAGGTGGAGGCTGGGTATCAGGCGATTGATGAACAAGATCAGATGCATCAGGATGATTGTAAGTTTATGACCCACTTGGCTGAGGGTGGATTTGGGGGTAAAAGGTAGATTGCTGACGATTCTTGTGATGCAGATGATCCCGAGGTTTATCATGGGGCGCATGTTGGGGTGCAGTTGGTGGGGAGGAGGCTGCAAGAGGAGAAGATGATTGCTGTCGCGGAGGTGGTTGGGGGGTTGCTTGGGAATTAGGCAATAGGGTGGGGTTTGGGTATATTCGGGGGGTGTGGGGGTAAGGCAGGTTGTGGCAATGCAGATTAAAGTTGTAGTCGAGGTTAGAAAGCGTAGTCTAGCTACATGATATCACTCAGTATTTAATCATCTTCACACCTATACATACCAATCCAATCCCACCTTACCTCATTTCACCTTACCCACCCTATACCCCTCTCTCTCCTCTTACCCTCGCTGTTAACTTTAGCAGCCACATCAAACCCCCTTTTCCATCTGCAACCACAATCCCCTTGATATCCTTCTCTGCTGGTAAAAGCCCTACACTATCGTTATCTAAATACTATAGTATAGTAGCTTATTTCTACGCTTTTTGTGTTTGCCAGGTAGGGGCATGTTACCTGTTTGGACTTTTTGGATTTGTGATACCCCCAACTCATCACTAGAAAATTCATAGTAGCTTATTACGTGTTTAGTGTTAGGTAATTAGCGTAAGGTTAATTATTTTAAGATAACTCCGCGTAGAGAAGCTTAATAGATAATTATATACTATTCTTAATACTACTTGTTGGTTGCTCTTAGTTTCGAGCCACCGTACGTACGTGGCGAGCACGTGACTACGTGCGTGGCCCGTGCCGTGGGGTGGGATTCAGTTCGTACGCGAGCTGCAGCCCACCTCCTCTAATCAATCATAACCATCTACTTCAACTCGTTGCAACGACCGTTACTTGATTCAACCTCACCTTTGCCGTATCAACACTACTATTTACTACTAATATGCCTTCTTTTTCTCTACTCTCTACTAATTGCAGGTTGGCAGCCTCTCTTCTAACTATTGAGACTATTCCTCTACTATAATACTGCATCCTGGGCTCCTCGACCGTCAAAAGCTCAGACACTAGATAGGCTCCGGCTACGAAAAGGGTCTTAGCAACGGTGGTCTACGTTGGTGTATACTATCGTTTATGATTCCCAAGATTCTACAAAGAAGCCATCTATACCACAAAAACATAGATTCAAACAAAAAGATGAGCTTCTGCTAGCTCAATGGGTTCAATAAAAGGCGTAAATGAATGGAGCAAATTGGCTAGGATCGGGAAGGGGTAGTAGTGTCGCCACTTTTTCCGTCGATTCCTTGAGATTTTATGACTATAAAGATTGAGTGTTGTTCTTGGAAAGGCAGCGCGGGTACTACTTTGTGATTGTTTGGTAAAAGCGGAGATGTATATGTGTACATTATGAGGGGAATCGCGATAGAATTAAGAATAAGAAGCGAGTGGTAGATCTAAAGGGTGGGTGGGAATGAAGAGTGGAATGGCTCGCTTGCACGCGGTAGATAGAGAATGTCCTCTATGAGGCTGCTGGTTCTCCTCAATCGCAAATTCGCTGCGTCGATGTCAATTATTGGAAGACTTTTCTATGCCGTGTGTTCGGTACCATGGGACTCCTCTAGACACATTGAGATGCGCAGGCAGATGCGAGCACAGATAATGTGCCACCCGGTAGCATATTGGTACACATGTTTGGCGTAGGTACATGCAAACTGGACAAGTAGCCGTGTTACATGAGTTTTGATGGGGATCTGTACTAAGCTACTTTGCACTTCCCTTTTTCTACAAGACTATGGTACACGTTCTTGGAGTGAGTTCTAGACTGGAAAACCATCAATGTGTCATTTTGATGAGTCTTTACTGGACATTTTCACATTCGTTTCTACCTAGCCTATTTCACACTTGCCTCGCCTGGCTTGTACATATCAGAAATAGATGCGCTTCTGCAAGACCAAAAGGCTCATCTGAAACCAAAAAACCCCTAAATCGCTCAACATGCTCTTGCAGAAAGACTTCCGTCGTAGCGTTGGTCGCAAGCACCGGTATCCACAACATTTCTCCGACATTCTACCCAATACGTAGAAAGCCGATGCGGGCTTACAAAATACCGACATGCTGCCCAGCATAAGGAGAGACTGTACAAGCGTACAAAACATGAGTCGTCCACTCGTGGGGGCTTGAAGAATACCGAAATTCTGCACAGCATAAGGAGAGACCGTGCAGGCTTACAAAATACGAGTTGTATACTCATGGGGGGCTTACAGAATCCGAGACACGTGCGCGTACGACCACCTAAAGTCAGCCCATTTTCAGTATCCCTACAAAGACCGCCCGAGTGCGAGATGGTGAAGAATGTCCCATGTTCAGATCCGTCCCGGTGGGATGATTTTGATAACTACACGCCAGGGCCCGGACCTTGGCATTATCGAAGTCTCATTTAAGTGCTTACCTGATGGTCCGTTCGGAGCCGCAGCATATCATGTCATCTCGGGACATCCCCGACCAACTCGGTGCTTACCTACGGCCTTTTGGGAGTCTGGATCTTTTCACACATGCAACTTTATTTTTTGGTGCCACGCAAAGACACCCTTTTTTGACATCTCCCGGACTACCGAGGGAAAAAAGTGGAGATACCCGAGAGATCAGGACGGGAATTAGTCATGAATGTTACTTGAAGATATCTCGCCTTTTTCTGGGATGGTTGACCCCCTGGGTGAGCTTCTGAACTTTATTTGTTGTGCCATAGGCTGGGTATCTCGCAGTGGATCCAGATTGAACGTGTCCTTGAGTAACTTCATAGATATACTTGAGTAGCTTTTCACAACATAGGAGGGTATCCGTAATGCCACGAGACGAGCAAGGCATGCAGCAAAAAGTGCTCTTAAGTTTTCATCGCTTTCTGTTCGGCGTTTGCTGGGCCCAGGAGTTACGGGAATTATAGTTCCAGGATGGGTTTACTATTGGTCAGCACAGCAAAGTTTTTCATCGCCCATAGCTTCCTCTCAAAGTGCAGTCGCAAATACCACCGAGGCTTATTATGGCATCAGCAGAGATTGCCTTGAGAATCACACCATACCCGCTTGGTATCTCTTGATTTACCCCCCGTATATGCTTGATCTCCTTTTATCGATCCCGTATATGCTTGGTGTCGTGGCTGTAACTTTTATGTCAACCTTATCTGTTGTTTGTGTCTTGATGCATGGGCGTACTGATAAAGAGCCATTCGATTGAGTTTTAGGCCTCACATGTATGGAAATATTCGGTCATTGTACGTGTTGTAGAAACAGTATATTCAGAAGCCGGTTAACCGTAGAGTGAAAGATCTCTCGCTAACCTCGGGAGTGTGTGCGAGTATTGCCGCAACAGTTATTGGACCGAGCATAGTGAACAGACTCCGCAACAATCAATCGATTGACATGATTGATTCCTATATAGGTTAAAGAATTACTTCATTAGGCAGCCTTTAACCTAGATAGGAATCAATCATGCCGATCCGATTGATTGTTGCGGAGTCTGATAGTGAACCTGTACTGCCAATTTTTACCAAGGTCGTAGACATGCCGCATGGTATGATCTTACACAGAGCTAGATCCTTGCGGAAATTATACTACAATCCCTCCCCTGTTCGTGCGCCCACATGCGTTCTCCAATGTGATATCAGCCAGTTGGGGGTTATGAACTTGGCATTAGCAATTCAGACGTAGGCTGGGGTTGCAAGGCTTTAGCGGGGACAGCAGCCCTACGAACAAGCTTGAGCGAGCTGACAACTGACGCTAGTATGGATTTCCAGCCAGGAGGACGCTCTAAATAGCTTGGAAACCACGTAAGTTTCTCCACCAGCGGGCTTGGGGGTACATGTTCGTAGCTTTCCCAAGCATTTCGGACGTTCAGACCGTAATTAGTGTGTTCCAATCTTACCCGGAAAAATCGAGCTTTGTGTCTCGCATGGGGGAACCGCCCATCACGTGCTCTTTTCCAGAACACTTAAATTCACGAATGATTCCCTTTCTCAGGTCTTAGAGCTCGCAACACGTTCCCTCTCTCACCACACTCTTTGAGTACCACACACTCGTTCAACACCACACACTCTTTCCATACAACACGCTCGTTTATCCAACTCAGTTACACAAGACATTTGTCTATACAGCACATCTACGTTCTCAAATTTTGAACCTCGCAACAATGAAGTTCTCCATCGCCTTCAGTTTTATGCTCCTCGCCTCTCTAGCTACCGCGTCTCCCAGATATTATCGGGTTCTCGACCCAGCTATCGTTCAACGAGCTCCACAAGACTCTGGTGCTACAGATGATAGTGGTGATACAGGTGGCAATCTTGGTCAATCTACGGTTAATTCTGGAGTTATACACTACGGGGCTATGTGGAGGGGCACGGTTCCCTGCTCTGTGCGAGGTGCATCAAGATACAACTGTTACGGTAGCACTCAGGCAAATCCTTACACCCGAGGTTGCTCCCGAATAACTAGATGCCGGCCAGCCTCTACTAATTCAACTGAAGCAACAACATCTGTAAGTTCAATTCTGGAATCTTGTTGCGTCGCTTGTCTGTTTCACACTTTCCACTGTCGCTAACATGTTCGTGGGGAAGAAGAGTTTAGTTGCGCACGGCGGACATGTGTTGGGAATTACGGGGTTGTTTTCTTCAGTGAAACCAAGAGGAACTTCAGGCGATTCGCGACCTATTTCGAGCGATACCTAGCCTGGGGTTTGAGTAGGATCATGTTTGGGGATTTTTAACGGCTGAGCATCACGATATAGCCTTTTACTACTTGTAACTTTAGTTTTTAATACCAGACCTACCCACACGCAAATGTCCAGCGCATTGACTTACGTAGGCCCGCTAGTGTGAAGGAGGGGTGCTCGGCCATGATTCCTTTGATTTTTGGTTGATGGGAGAAAGCTTGGTGAGATGGGATTTCCAAGTAACCCTCCATCCTACCTACTTACTCAAAAACACACCTAGGTCCCTAGTGCAACTCATATGACCTTGCAAAAGAACTCTTCCCTGCCTCGGCATACGTACGCATCACCTAAGCAACCGCTCACCAGGTTGGTTTTATTTAACCCACGACACAGTCGCCGCGGAAACAACACCAGCGCAACAGTATATAATCTTTCGACCATAACTCTACGCTGTTCGGGGGAAGTCAAAGAAAGTTAAGTGAGGGACGTTGGTAACTGAAGGTTGGGCCACAACGGCAGGTGCAAGATATATCACATGCAGGGTTCCCTGACGCGGGTTCCTTCTAAGATGCGTTTACCTCTCGACTGCCCACAATATCGAAACATTTGCTTCGGGAGAATTGAAAAATATAGGCCTCACGTAGATATGGCACAAATACGGGTCGCTAGAAATACAACTTTGCTCCATTGCTACATCACAACCGAGTCTATCAACTACTCAAGGACCGCGAAGCCAACGAGGTCGGGTGCAGTGCCGTTTTTGAAACCCCTCAACTCAACCGTGTTACCTGAACCTTTTACGAAACCATCGACCTCAATGTGGAGACCCAGACTCTCCTGCCAGTCTCCACCAGAAAGAGGGAACGCCCACCTCTTCGCCTGGTTGCCGTTGACTGCTACTGTCATGTTCCGTATATTGTCACCGAGGCCCCAAGAGGTAGTGAACGCGTAGTCGTAGTTGATGAAGTCAACGCTCAAGAGCTTCTTGCCAGCAGTTTCAGCGCTGACATTGGCGAAAATTACGGCTGAACCAGCGTTGAGGATATTTCCGACTTTGTAAGCAGTGGGCAGGCACGATCCAGCTGCGCATTTTACTACTTGCGCCGATCCAGACAGTGTAGCATTGGCGGCAGAGTAGTAAGCCCCAGCATTGGGTGCAGTAGCAGCGACAATATCGGACAGTACCCAGATCCTCAGTTCGTGGCCTGCCAGATTCAATGTTTGTGAGCCAGAAACAGTACCGGCATCTTTCGCAGCCCAGACGTCGCGCGCAGAAGCTGAAGCGATACCGAGTGACTTGAGGTCAACGTTCACTGTCTGGGAGTCGTTCCTCCAGTTTGCGACACCCAGAACCTGTCTTGAACCGGAGAGCTCGCCCATCCAAATGTCCCATTCGCCTTCCGTGTCGCGGCGAATCAATTGCGCTTGCTTTGCAAGTGAATCTTGGTTGATGGCGATGATTTCTTTGTTGAGCATAATTTCCACTGAAGAATTCTTCAAACGCGATGGGTCCAGAGCTGCGCCCATGATAAGAGGTGACTTGTTGATAGCCCACATGCCAAAGTGGAACCGCTCTTCCTCTTCTGAGAGTGAGTTGAGGCCAACGCTACATTTGTCAGCAAATAACACGAAAGGAGGACAACATGCTTACATTAACATGTCCATATCCGCAAAGGCACCTGTGGTAGTGTGGCGGAAGTATGGTACCACTTGGTTCGTGATGCGCCAAATGCTGCGCCATTTACCGTAGATGTCGTTGCTGATCCTCCAGGTGTTACCTATCTTGGCTGCCCACTCTCCAACATCAGTGCCAATTCCCCACTGGCACACGTAGTATCGAATATCCCGGTCTACCGCATCAAGCTCTTCTGCCATACGTTGAAAGCGGGCCGGTGACTGAGACTCTGGAGAACTAGAGTCTACTAAAGTAGTGTTGGAGGTGGAATAGCAGTTGTCGTACCTAGAGTATGTAAGCTTTCTCTAGTTTTAGACGCTGCTGACTGGATATACTTTAGACTGTCCCCACCCCACCCAGCAATACTCTCTGCATCTATCTTTTCGTAACCCAAACTCGCAGGTAAATCATCATCGCCGCATTGTAGGTACCCAGCCCCTGAATAGAGACCAAAACCTAGGCCCAGACCGTGAAGGTAGTCGCCAAGCGCCTTGCCACCAGACGGAAAACGAGTCGTGTTCCATTGAAGTTGCCCAGCGGCATCCCGTTCTCGTAAGTTCCAACCACAATCGATGGTTACGAAGTCATAGCCAACATCCTTAAATCCGAGCTCGATGAGGCCATTGGCACTTGTTTTGATCTTGTCTTCAGTGGGCTGGCAGTTCCAAGTATTGTAAGAATTCCATCCCATCGGTGGGGTGGGAGAACGAGTAGACTTTGCTGCGACTTGAAGTACCAATGGCACAACGAATAAGAGTGTGCTTGTCATTTTGGTTTGATGATATTGTGTGATGATGGCGTTCACTTTACGTATTCACCAATTTTATAATCCATCTAACGATTCTAAGGTTTAATACCCGGTGGCCACTTTCATCGACGTTGGATAATGTCATACAGCGCCCACGTCATGATGCCATGCAGCAGTGGGCATCAACCCCTCGTGCAAAGGTAAAAACGCATGCAGAAACGACGGAGAAATTGTTCGCAAACATTGGGTCCCACCTCTGGTATGCCACCGTTTAATGTTTTGCAGCAACTTGAAGCAGTGATCGACAATGATACGAATGGCCCTTGCCAGGATGTCATGTAGTTGAGATGATTTCCTGGGGCTTGGTGAGGGGAAGGTCGGGGGGATGCCGGGGTCTCGGGGGAAGCCATTGGCGGCACGGCGGAAGGCATTCCGTAATAGGAACATATGAGAGTTTAGTCGTATCGGAGAGTCTCCGCATGTACTCGATCTACGCACAACAATTGCGACTAAATTTAGAAGTTGGTTCACGGTCGGCATCACAAATATCAACGCAAGCATGGAGGTCTCTCAGCAATTGTAACTGTCTCATATAAGGTGATTGCTACTCAATCCCACTACCAACTTCTTTCCAGCTCACTTGGAAGCTGGCGGCTGAGGCCAATGATCCAGGACTGTCTCTTCACCCGTAATCGTAAGCTTCAACTCTGCCTGAGTGGGCTCATCAAGAAGCAGCGTATACTCTCCCGGGTAAGCAACCAAATTACCCGACTGATCAACCCTTGACAAAGTACCAAGCGTGAGCGCGAGTGATGCCGTTTTAGTCTGGCTACCCGAAATATCTCTCAATCTGGCATATGATACCAATGTCTTCAGAGGGTAAGGCTTAGGCCCAACCTCGCCCTTGATGAACGCCAATGCGATAAAGTCAGAGGTCCTATTACCCTTGTTCGTCACCGCGACCTCAATCGGAGGCACATCGCACAGGTCTGGGTGATCTTTGGTGCAGGACTTCATGATATCCTGAATGTTCACGGTGAGACTTGAATTACTGCCGAATTTGGCCGCAAACTTGGTGTAGTGCAGACCAAAACCAAATGGCTGAACGGATTCGTTGTACCAACGGTAGGTTCGGCCGGGGTTGTTACCACCAGGGCGCAGATTCATGTCCAACATGGACAATTGGGTGTACTTGGCGGGGTACTGGGTAATTGGTAGACGTCCAGCAATCGCGTGTTCACCGGTGATGACCTGCATGACAGCTGTTCCGCCGTCCTGACCGGGCCAGTTCGCCCAGATCAACGAGTTGACTCCTTTCATGTTGAGTATTGGCATGTGGTCGACCATGTCACCCAGTGCGATGACAACTAGCGGTTTGCCAAGAGCAGCCAGCTTGGTGATGAGGTCGATTTGAGCGCTTGGCCAGCTGATGTCTGTACGATCGGAACCTTCTGCAGCAGCTGAGGGATCCAAGCCACCAAAGTAGAGAATGGTGTCTGATTTCTTTGCCGCATCGAGCGCCTTAGTGGTCCAGTTGTCTGCAGCTCCGGATTTCTGGAGGATTGGTCCCGTAGCCACGGCCATGTCCAGACCAAGCTTGTTACCAGCATACACCGGATTGTGCAAATAAGGTGCTGGACCGCTGTAGATACCGGAAAGCTTAGAGCTGTCATTCGCCCAGAAGCCGACCATCGCTACCTTCGATCCACTCTTAAGAGATAACGGAAGCGTGTCGTCGTTTTTAAGCAACGTAAGTCCCTCGGCAGCGACTTGCAACACAAGTTTCTGAGCCTCTGGTGTGTTGATATCCTGGACGCCCAGGTTAGCATATGTTGCCGCAGCCCCGTCAAAGTAACCGGCGTGAACCAGTCCCTCGTACTGTCTTGTGAGAGCCCTGTCAATGACTGAAACGTTCAGCAGGCCTTGACTAAAAGCACCAGGAATATCCGACGATCCACTGTATTCGCAGCTGAGATCCATGCCGTTGTTGAAAGCAATCGCCGTAGCTTCTTGGAGTGTCGCTACGTATTTGTGCCTCAGGGAGATATCTTTCACCGCCTCACAGTCACTGGTAATGTAGTTGTTGCTGTCCGTCCAGTTCCAATGCTTGCGCAGGATGTCTTCGAGAACGTAGGTATCGGCACATGTGGGGACACCGTTGACCGCGTTGTAGCTGCACATGAACGAGCCAACTTTCGAGTCTCGTGCGCACTGTTGGAAAGGAGGCATGAAGTACTCCGCAAGATCTTGTGTAGTAATCTTGGCATCGAAACTGTGGCGATCAGTGCCGTTCCAGTCCTCCATGTCGTAGCCCACGTAATGTTTGCACGTGGCGATGATCTTCCTTTGCGCCTTATCACCTTCAAGTCCAGAGAGCAGACTCTTTGTGTAGCCTTTGATTCGCAGGATGTCTTCTCCTGGCGTCTCTGAACCACGACCCCAGCGAGGATCCCGGAATGGGTTGATGTCTGGAGTCCAGAAGTCCACAGGGGCGATGCCGCCATTACCAAATGCTCGAGCCTCGTTTCCGATGACGATGGCGATCTGATGGATCAAATCGTCATCGAACGCTGCTGACATGAGGAGAGGCATTGGGAAAGACGTTGCAGTGCGGTAAGGTCCAGTGAAGTTGATTCCCGGTGCCCCTGCCACACCGTGTAGTGCTTCACCCCACCAGTTGTAAGCCGGGAGCCCAAGTCGCGCAACTCCTTTAGACTTGCTGTAAGTTCTTTGTTAGTAAATGCTTCAGGCTGATACATCAGATGTCCGAAGCAAAACATACCTTACGAGGTTGTCAAGCTTCTCTTGTGTCTGCATGGCTGCAACCAGGGCTGCAGCCCGCTTCGCAGGTGAAGCAGTCACATCGCAGATAGCGTTGGATTTCAAGGGACCATTCACACAGTCAGGGCCAATGGCGTAGGCGCTGGGGACCAATGATGCTCCGAAGAGCACCAGACCCAAGAGATGCATCATGAGTAACGAGTTGTAATCTGGCGGCAAGATACCCAAGTAACGCACCGCTTGCGGGGGCTATCGAGCATGTACACCGCATTTCGTTCTCCATCGTAGATACATATATACAGCTGCCAAGTACCATGTCAGCCGTGTTTATAACCGAAATGGCGCTACTATGCCGCTTGATGAGGATGTTGGATGGAAGATCCCCTGCTACCCCGCCATCCCGCGCATTTAGGCCCTGGATCCGCGCAGCCATGTTCCCCAATCGACTCGCTCAAATATACGACATTCAGCCGCCGGGTTCAAGACGAAAATGATCCTCACGTCACACCAATATCGGATCATTTACGTCAGGCTTTATTTCTCGCTTAATGTTGGTTGAGCCAATCCCTCTCTAAGACGCGTCCGTATCCTCCGGCAGTCGAAATCCCGGAATACAGTCATAAGATGACTTAAGGGTGATGTCTTATTGTTGAGTGTTGGATAAAGAGATGATGTACTATCGCCTCGGGTTGGCTTTCAAGGAAAACAGGCCCGCTCAATGTTCAGCGACTTGGTCGGCCCTGTTTTTGTTTGGAAAGACTCTGCTGCTCAGATCGAAGACGGGTAGTGGGCACGGAATGCCCACAGCTTCGCAGGCTGTAAGAATCGCAAGATACCAACCAGAAATCAACCCGAGAAAGCCGAACCCGCCGCCTATATGCAGCAATTTGTTGATATGTTCAATGTCGGCCTCGGTTTTCGCATGTGGGATGGCGAAATCCGCAGCGGCAATGAAAGAGAAGAGCATGACGAGACCAAAGAAGGTCAAGGCGAAGAATACGTTCACGCGGAGGGTACCAAGAAGAAAGATAAAGCTAGCAAGTACCCTGTTCGATTGTCAGTGGCGGGCCGGGAACCGGGGACAGTATGAGGTGAGCTTACATCGATACGTTGTGGAAGCCTTGAGATGAATTATAAGCGGCACCCGTTGCTCCGCCTAATTCTCTAAAGGCAGAAGTTGTTTGGTGAGTAGGGTCTTGTTGGTATGCCAAGCTAGCCCAATGGCTCCCATAAATGAGGAAGACGGCCATGGGAAATGCTGGATGCGCGTATCAGTATGGGAAGAAAATAGAAGACTGCAGAAATAGGTGATACATACTGTTACCGAGGATGAACTCTGCAATTCCGGCGAGAACCATAGCAAGGGCACCAAAGAAGTAGTAGTCACCACTGAGGCCGACCAAACTCTGTGGAGCAACAGCGCCCTGAAAACCGCAGAGGATGAGGATAGTGGAGGTATATGGCACAAGAAAGCCAACTAGTCCAAGCAAGGTCGGGTTCGCTGTCGACAGTGAGTCTCGCGAGCCACTTGTGGCACATTCGATGGCCAGGTTTCAAATGAGTACTCACCGAATTTCTTCGCGAGGTCGCCACGACGAGGGCCATTCGGCTGGAAGAATAGACGCTCATATTGTTCTGGAGTCAAAGCCACGGTAACTTGGCGACTAAGAGCAGCGCCATTTCCTGCAATGCCCACATTATTGTGTTCGGTCATCTCGTGGTCCATCTTGGCAGTGTCTGACATGACGTCGAAAGGTATGCGTTCCTCGGCTCAATGGTTAAATGACTGCAAGAAGACGTAGCAAAGTATGCAAAATCTGTACAGTGTTTTATTGTACGCGCATCGCCGTTACTATATGTCAACCACGGCTTCCGCCCAGCTCCGTCGGAAGTGCGAAGACCACAGCCTTTACGGCACTGTCGCCGTCTTTTCGACGTCAAACCGAGGCAACTTCCAGACTCCGGACACCACTACCCCAGGTTTCTCCGCATATATACCTGTATCTGCTGTAGTGTATGCGTCAGACACGGGCTGTTGAGTTAGTTTCAACGTGATTGGCATTGTGGCGTTGCACTAGGGGCGGTGCACAAGGGTAGAGACGGCAGATCAAGCCTCGTTAAGCATTTCGTTCCGCGGCGACGGACTCGGCAGACAACATGACACAAGGAACGGTAAACAAGTAGAGAACGAAAGAGGGCGGATTGGGAGTTCTATATAATTATAATTCTGGTTACAATATTTACCACTTCATACAACGTCCACTTGGCCATTTGATTTAGTGAGCCGTAACGTTTCTTACATTCTCGTTGCCCCTCTCTGTCAGGCTAGTGGGGCAAAATTGGGCATTGTAGCCCATATACCTAATGAGGGTGGCGATCTCTCTAGCCTTCTAAGGCAATGTATATCCATAGCCAACCGATACCATCTGTACACAGTACTCGTCGTGCCGTTGTTCGAGTCCCCGTTCGATGGCACGTGAGCACACTCCGTACAATCGTAAGTACTCGTGAACCTGCTGGCATCACGTATGCTATCTGTAGTGAGTGGATCTTTATTATTCATAGTAGCTTAGCGCGGTGTTTGCATATGCTACTAAAGGCGTGCCAAACTGGAGAACCATCGATTACATGATTTTGACGAGCTCTACCGAGCGTTTTCCACTCTTACCTATGCTACTAAAAGAGCACCTCTGAGCGCTACTGCCGCATGACTCGCTCACGGACTGCTCTCGGGGTCATTTGTATCTCATCTCTCTTGTCATCTTTAGCCTCACTTCTCCTGGGCACCGGCATGATTTGTTGTTCATTGACTTTGACCGCTACTCTTCCTTGCCACGGTATCTTCATCTTGTTGTATGTCTTCTACGAATTGTAAGACGATCTCTACAGTGTTCTCCAATTTGTTCTTCGTCTGTTCGGACGCACCAGAATTACCGCACCCAAAAGTCTTCAAAGGATTACACCGACGCAACGAACTTGCGACCGAAGAGAACGTCTAACCTATTCGGACGCAGTCGTTACATTTTCAGCTGTAATCTCGGCTTCTCGGATTTGTACGAATCTGCAGGGTGTCGCGCACGACGCTTCCAGGTCAAACGTATGCTACATCTTTGGGGCAGACGTAATCGAACCGTAAATAAACCACAAACGAACCACGCATTGTGTCACCAACGTGTCTGCCAGTATGACCTGGCTGATCACCTGTGCTGAGTGTGGTACGTCATAAATAAGGGGGTTGAGGCATGTAGCATGCCTAATCGCCCACGGATTAGGGTTGGCTGTGTGAGAATCCAGATACGGGTTGCCATACCGTCTTTGAACGAATGGACTGTACCCCTGATTACTTCCGCGGTAGTTGCAAATGCGGCTCTCGATAGAAGCTCATCGCGTTTGACTTTGAAACATATTTTCGTATCTCTAGTCCTGAATGTAGTGCTGGTAATCGAAAAGCGTCTGTACATAACGGTTATGGTGGATAAATCGCACTTTTTATGTTGCGAGAGATGAAGCGCAACGACGACGAGAGATGACCATCATTGATGAACGTGTGAGGATTACCCCTCATGTACCTGACTGCCAAGGTACCTGAGAACTTGGTCCAACAACCGAGACCCTCCCGAGGTCAGTCCATGGAAGTTGAGTAAAGTCATCTTCTCTTTATGCTTCCAATGCGCCACAGCCTGGTACACGTCACTCTTATGAAAGCATTCATGCGATGCGATAATTTCAAATGATTGAGATGTCACTGTTGTGGTGTTCTGTTCGCTACCTGTGATCTGGTCGCTGGTCACGCGCTAATTAGCGGCATCATCCGGCCCTCCTTGGCCAGACCTCGGTTCATCATCCGTCATTCGGTCCGAGTTATTGTGGTTTTCGAAATACCTTGAGCCGCCTGGATCTGGTTAGCTTGGTGCCCAAGAACATCAACTCCCATAGTAATTTGTTAGTAAATTAATGCAGCAGCCGTTTCCCACCTCCAGAAGCCCATGAAGCTAGTCCTGTACTCTAAATCGTTCGTGTATAGCGTTTTGTTTGTGTGGAGCTTGTTGCGAGCTCAATCTAGCTGCTGTTGGATGCCGCCCAAGCGCCAGCGTAAGCCGAAGCAGCCATTCGATCAAGGCGTTAACCCGTCCTCCCAGAAGCGTAGAGCGCCAGCAACTAGACAAAATCCTACCCATTTAACGC